ACGGCATTCAGTATTATGTAGTTGATCGCTTATAATAATAACAACAACAACAACAACAACAACAACAACAACAACAATAACAACAACAACAACAACAACAACAACAACAACAACAACAACAACAACAACAACAACAACAACAACAACGGCAAAGACATTGACAACGACAATTACAACAGCAACAACAACTACAACAGCAACAATATGATGATATAATTTTCAATCCAACTCAAGTAACATATTTATTAACAATTAAATTATTCAATTATATCAATTATCTTTCTAATATTATTTTTATTTTACTATTAGCATCGTTATCAAGGTGCTTCTGAAATTGTAACTCCTGATGAGTTTGAATTCTACTTTAATCATTTATGGAAAAGTCAATTACTTGATCCTAATGATAAAATATCAACTAGATCCCTCAATAATATATTTTTATATAATTTATTAGCTGGGGTTTTAGTGAGAGAATGCACCAAAAATTATTCACTTGAGTTATCTAACATTCCTTTGGAATATCTCAAGTTAATAATTTCAAATATAATTAGACAAAATAATGTTGATTGGAATACTAAAACTTGTTTCAAGTTTAAATTATGGTTTAGTCAAAATAATAAAATAACTAAACAAATTCAAAAAACCAAATTTCAAAATCTTTTAAAAAAGAAGTGGAATATATTTCTTAAAGATAGTCCTTTTAAGGTTGAAGATGGTTTTTTTAAAATTGAAGATAATTTAACTGTTCCAGAATTGGATTTAAAAAATTTAGCAAAGACAAAATATGGATCAACAAGACAAAATAATAAGTTAGTAAAAAGTGCTCACTGTCTTAATAATCCAGGATGCATAGTGGATCAAAATAACCGAACTTTGATTCATTTAGAAAATATAGATGATCAAAATGCCTTATTACATGCAACTGAAGCAGTAAATAAATACTATTTCCATTTAATTAAAGATGAAATACATCGAAGTCCAGATTTTTGTAAGAACCGTGTTGAACATTTTGGTGCTTTTAAATTATATAAGAAATTGCCATATACAAGTGCCAATATGGCTAGTAGTCACTATTTAGCTCATCAACCATGTGTTAATGAATTAATTCTTAGTCTTGTACCATTATCAACTTATGTTAACAAATTTGTACAAAACAATTATGGAAATATGTATTTGAAGTTGAAAAATCTTTTCTGGGGTCCTTTTGCTCCAAAACCTTTTGGAATTTTTCCAATGATTGCTATTAATTTTAATCAACTTAGTAATTATCATTGGGATAAATTAGATGCACCAAATTGTTTGTGTTGCCTAATACCATTAGGTGATTTTCAAGGAGGTGAACTTTATTTTCCTCAACTTCATACTGTTGTACCACTTCGACCTGATCAGATTGTTGCATTCTCTTCTCATTATTTACTTCATGGTAACTTTCATTTAACCGATGAAGCTAATAATATTAGGCATAGTATTGTCTATTTTATCCATAAAAATTTTTTCCATAAAAAAGATAACTTTGAAAATATGGAAATTGATAATGCTGAATCAAAAAATTTAAGATTAAAACTTTATAATAATTATGACTTGAATAGTATTAAACCAGTTTTTAAATCTGCTCAAGCTTTTCAAACCAGGGAGTATACCAATAATAACAACAAAAATGATCAACGACGGGACTCTTGGTAAGTAAAATATTATATGAAATTACAATTTTATAAAAAAAAAAAAACTCAAAATTAATTAAACTTATTTATTTATTTTAGATTTGAAAAAAATTATAATAGTTAATAGTTTAAATTTATTTTTAAATTCAATTCCAGTTATTATATTGTTGCTAATAATAATAAATATATTATACTTAATATAAAAGTCAAAAAAAAAAATAATAAAAGTACTTTGATAAATTATATATCTATTTTCAAATGTTAAAAAACTAGGAACCATTGTAAGTTCAGAACAAAATTTCAATATAATATGACATATTAACAAATTTTTTTTAATTAAAAAAATTTAAATTAAAATCAATATATTATATTAGAATTAATGTTTTAAACTATTAATGTATTATAAAAATGAAACTGTAAATTCGTAAGTATTTGTAATTAAAGAAAAATTTCTCTTTCAATCTGTTTATAAGCCAGGTTAGCAAAAACAAATATTCAAGTACATCTCTTCGAACTCGCGAAGCCTATTTCAACCTCATGGTATCTCCAAGAATCAAAAAAGAAAAAAGGTAAGTATATTATTAAGGTAAGGTAAGATAAGGAATAAAGAAAGCCTAAGTTTTTTTTTATTTTTAATTTTTAAAAAAAATCTACATCTACTCTCGAATCTTGAACCTGTAAGACGATTTCAAAAAAGAAGATAAGTAAATATAAAAATATTGTTTATTTTATTTATTTTTTAAAAAAAAAAAACAAAAAAATACTTCGAAATACTTCAAAGATATTTTTTTTAAAAAAAAAAAATTATCAGATTTAGATTTATATAATTTATATATAAAAATTTACTTTAAAAAATTTGTACTTTTTTAAAGTATCAAATTTTTGGAAATTTAACACTATGTTAAAATTCTGAAAAATTACATCTATAATATTACGGAATTTTAATATCTGAAAAATTTTCGAAAATTTTCCGGAAATTTCCGTAATATTTTGTAAAAAATTCTGAAAATTTAATACCATATTAAAATTCCGGAAATTTTTGCTTATTAAAATTTCCTGATAGGGTAATTAATTATTCGTTTAATGAATTTTATTTGCCTAATGTAGGAAAACAAGTCGGCCTACGCATCTGTCATATTTAATTTTTTCGTCTAGCTTAGAGAATTGTGCGTCCAAATTTGAGACAGACTTTTCTGATCTTGAGAATGTATAATTATTTATCAAGTTATTAGTTATTTTTTCGTGATAATATACATCATTAAATAATATTTGACATGATTTTCATAGAAATATTCACTGGTCGAAAATTGATAAAACATACACATATCGGGTACCCGATATATGCATGGTGTGTCCCTAATATCGAACATATAACGGGTACCCGATAAGTGTAGAAAATATTTTTTTACACTTATCGGGTACCCGATATATATATAAAATATTTTTTACATATATCGGGTACCCGATATATGCCCGATATTAGAGACGTATTATGCACATATCAGATACCCGATATGTGTATATTTTATCAATTTTTGACCAGTGTTTCTTTATTATACATACAATAAAATAATATAGTAATAATTATAATAAATATAAAATAATAGTTAATAAAGAAAATAATAAAAATTGAAATTAAATTTTAAATTTAAAAAAAGTATAATATTTTGAAAAAAACACAAATAAATTAAATATAAAAAATGTTATTTAATGTTAAATGCTATGAAAAATGATAAAAAAAATATAATAAATGTTTATTAAATAACTATTTTTATAGTATAAAATGAACATTTTGTACTTTTAACATTATTAAATACCATTCTAGAATATTATAAAAAATTCGTACCGTTATGACTAATAATATACAAATGCCGATATACAACATTATTAATATAAAATATTCGTTATATGTTATAAAATGGTGATATATAATATTACATAAATGCTATTTATAAAATATAATATGAACAGAGCGTTTGTATAATGTTCTAGAACATTATGTTCTAGTACGTTAGTGTCATTCTAGAATACTATTCGAACATTCCGTTCATATACCATTGTAGAATGCTATATAAAAATTTCTTTTTTTTGAGGGATGAAAGTCCATT